ACCCCAACAACCAAAAACAACAGGTAGTGTGCACAAAACCAAAATACAGTTTTACAGCAGAAAATGTAGGCATGCACCTTTTGATGATTTATGTATTTAGCCACAAAGGCCCCCAGTTTGAGCTATGCTGCATGTACAGATCACCTCAAAGTGGATCTGTGCAGAACTGGCCTTTGGAACACTTCATAATACCAGACTCCTGAAGTTCAAGAAGTTGTATGTGTAGTACTAACCAAGTATGTCTGATGCTGCTATGCTAGTGTTTGACTTGATTCCTCTTTGCTTCTATATATGTTGTAGCAGTTTTAAATGCAGTGGCCAAAAATCAGTGCCTCTTTACTCCTACTATGTAAAAGAGCTCAAAGGTTGACTTAATGTATTACTTTCTAAAATCTCTTTGTTTCATTTAGATCCTATTATGAAACCTTAGTATTAATAAAGCTACCTTTAGTGATCAACTCAAAACCAGTTCCCAGAAGACAAACTATTAAAGCAGTAATACCATAAAGCCCTTAACTGATGTGTTAGACCAGGGATTGGCAACCTGTCTCCTACGAGCCAGATCCGACTCACAGAGCTGTGGCTTCAGTAGCATTCAGCAGAGGGCTCTGCCCATGCAGCACTTGGGCACCCACAGCTTCAGCTCCACCACACCTCTGCCAGCTCTCAGCGGGGAGAAGTGGCAGAGGCAGCTGGGTCCTAGTGCCTGCCCCCCTCAAACCCTAACTGGGTCATTCCAGCCCCACACTGGAAAACATTGCCAACCTCTGTGTTAGACTGTATGTGAAAACTCAAGTCGAGAAGTTTGGTTCAATCAGGCATCCAAAGTTCGAACCGTAAAGATTTTACTTAACTCTCAGCAATCTGCCTCTTTTCCCTTTTGTCCTCTTGTCTGAAACAATTCCTCCTCCTATCCTCCTTTCTTATGACTCTCAACAGGCACCCCTGTTCCAAAGCTCCCCTGCTCCAAGATCCAGCAGGTCTTTCCAATATTGTCTCCATAATCCCAAACAGGTTCCCTGAGACAACACATTGTTGAATTTAAAATTCCCTTCTGAAGTACCTAAATGACAAAGAGCTGTTGTTTTGTTGCGTGTGAGTGAATGCTTTTTAAAAAATTATGGAAATTAATTTATACATAAAGGTTTAAGAAGAAAAAAGCTTTCTAGTTACTGATGCAGTCATCTGGCTCAGTATTAGAAAGGTTAAAGCACGTCTCAGGATACAACTTTTACTGACACTTAGTTTTAAGCAAGCTCTGATCCTAGACAATATCCTATACCTTTCACTGGACCTTTTATTGTAAAAACACCAGATTTATTCTAGAGCCTTTTGAGGGATTGGGTCCAGAAGTGCTAATCTGAGTCAATGTATGTGTTTGTTTTAAAGCAGATAGATCCATCTGAACAAAAGACTCTTGCCAATCTACCATGGATTGTAGAACCTGGACAAGAAGCCAAAAGAGGCATTAATACCAAGTATGAAACTACAATTTTCTGATACAAAACTGTCCTCTGTTCCTTGTTGTGCCTTGCACTCCAAGCAGTCACAGCACAGCCTTTCCTTTACGGCAACGTTTCAGTCCAGCAGAGAGGAAGACTGCACTGTAAGAGTGGCCTTGTAACTAACAAAAAAAAAAAAAGGCTGATAGTCATTTCTGGTGATGTTCTTCCTGCAGCACTGACAGAAGAATGACACTATTTGAAGACTTTTACATTACAGTCCACAAGAGGAGAGAGAAAAATACTATTTTTCATGCAGTTCTCTCTTGTGATTTTGCCACAGTGCTTTCTTTGATTTCTTATTTTAGGAATATACTTTTTAAAGAGGTCTCTAAACTAACATTAATGCTGCCGATGAGTATGACATTTGATTGGTTTTTTATTTAAATCTTGGCAGTTTTTAATTGAAATAGAAACCAGAATTATTAAATATCGTATTTGTGAAACCACTGGATTCCTAAAGAATTACTCTTTATTGACTAAAAGTCAAAGATGACAATAAATTAGGTACCCTGATTTCTGTGTGTGCTGGTTTTATATGTAATCGTTAGTGTCCTTTGGTCCTCTACAAAAATAAGAGCCTATCACGGTCTGATAAAGGATCAGAATTTTATGAATGGTTAAACAGAGGAATTAATAATGCACAAAAAACATGTCTTGTATTACATATTTTTTATGGAAGAGGAATGCTATAGAACATAGTAATATTTATGAGAGAGGAAGTCAGATTAATTATGAAAGATTATTTATTTTAAAGTTAACTAAACCATTGCTATTGTACCATTAGCAAAATGCTAAGAGTTGTGGCATCAATGCACTGGATGCTTCATCTGATGGGAGCAGAATTGGAAGCAGACTAGTCATTGCACTACACGTACATACAGTTTACAAAGTTTAACATTGCTATAGCCATGAATTCTACTAGTATTTTTAAAAATCTCAGTGGTTCTAAAGAACATATTCAAAACTAGCGCTTTTGCTTTCAAGGTTTCTGTCACAGAAAGCTTGTTTGAAAGAAGTGTTGATAAAGTACTAACATTTTCTAAATAAAAAAAGAAAGAAAAAGAAAAAAATTCCAAAGTAATAATAATAATGTTTTCATGAAACAAAAAAAGGTTAAGCATTTGTTTGACCTTTGATTAATGAAATTTACTTACATTTTCTTTAAAGTGTTTTAATTTTTTTAATGTCTGTGGAGTATTTGTATAATACCATGATGTATATTTATGTAGAACTGAATTATAACAGTACAAATATCATTATAGGAAAAAAATGACATTTTAATGTATATTGTTCTATCCAGTCAAATTGTGAATCATTTTGGAGTTCATTATAGAGATATTGATAAATTGTGTGGTTGTCTTAATGTTTTTTTATTATTATTATTTCATATCTGACTGAGGTTTTCAGCTACAATAATCAATTGGTGAATTCCAAAAATGGAAAACTGAACTTAGTTTAAAATTGATAACTGTATATGGGTTAGTTAAACCGAATTATAGCTTGGAGTAATGAAAACTTTTAATACGGTATTCAATTTACTTGAACAAAATAGTTTCTTGTACATATTTTGCCTATTCACTGTTGATATGTATGTAGTAAACTGACATTAAAAAGAAAAGAAAACCTTCACTAAAAATATGGTACCAAAAGGAAAATTGTATAGGAGAACAGTAAATAGTAGCCTCACTGCAACAAATACTTATGTAAATATGCTTGGGCTTCCAGTTATAAATTTTGTAATTTTGTCATTTATTTATATCCTATAAAAGCACACAAAATAAAACAAAGTTGTACAGTCACTAGTGCTTTGCACATCATTTTGTTATCACTACAGCACATGAAGTGTTACCTAATGTAGTCTGGGGCCATAGACAGACATTACCTTTGTAGCACTACAAATCTCTGTAACACTACAGGAGTCAAAGGTACCAATGTGCATGCCCCATGTAGTGCCACAAAAATGTTTGTAGATGAAATTACATGTGGTGGTACAAAACGTAGCACCTCAGTAGTGTGTGCTCACTGTACTTACAAGAGATTTCTCAGGCCCCCTTTATCCCACAGTGCTCTGCTCTCCCCCCCCCCGCTTCCAATAAGAGAGGGCTAAAGAGTGGGGGACAGTTAATCAACAGTCGGAGTGCTCAGCATACTCAGTGGCAGCAGAGAGGAAGGGAGGGATGCAGTCTGCTGTGGGGCTGACATTGTGCTGCCCCTTAGCCAAGAACTGCAGCTCTGCTTGTCCCCACCCCCCAATGCCACTACAGGAGAGTAATGAACTACCACAAGGCCCACTGCTGCCCCAGTGATAGCAAAGACCAGTGTTGCCACCAATATTCCCTCTAAGCTGCATGGCGTGTGCAGCCACGCGCACCACGCAGCTTAGAGGGAACACTAGTTGCCACCATGGCAGCATGCCCTTCACCGTCACTGACTCGCAAAAAAACTAGGGCTGGAAGGGTCCAGAGGTCATCTAGTCTAGCTCTCCCCCAAGAGGCAGAATTGGCTGGCTGCCAGTCTCAGCCTGCTCAATGGTTTCCCCCTTCCTCAGGCTCCCTGAGCCCCCTGGTACCCAGGGCACTTCTGTTACCTTGATACCCACTTGTTCAAACTATTCTCTACCTAGCAAGTTGGCTAGCTATCCTTTGGCAGTTATGAGGTGGAAGACCATTCGACCCTGCGCTTAGCAGATAAAATGAAAATGTTAATAAGTCAACTGCTTATTTATCATAGTCCACCAGGCTTCCTTTGCATGGGACAGTAAATGGAGAGTTACAAGGTCACAGCAATTCATGCATATCTTCTAAAATTAAGGAAAACTTGGCTCCTGAGTCTACATTCATAACACGTGGAACACTTTCTACCTGTAGTGCAGGTCTCCTGTAGAAACAGCACCCTACCCTCTTGACAAACCCGGTTTTGTAAATACCTGTGAGTACTCCAGAGACAGAAATCCCATTTGCAACAGCCAAAGACAAAGCCTGCTTATTTGACTTGTTTTAGATAGCTTGAACTTTTGATAATGCATGCATTTGATATGACCCTTGTCCTTACAATGATGTCAAAACAGCCTGTCTTGCATCTCCCACCACAACTAAAACAGCATCCTAGAGATGAATTATTTACTTGTGCATTTCTGTCTACTTCTTTGGAGAACTCCCTTTGGATTGCCCTTGCTAAGTTGCAGTTGAAGTCAAACACAGGAGCAAGTGCTTCTTCAGCAAAGGCAATTGTTCTACTAGTTAATTGTGCTAATTGAAATGGAACCAAGTAACCTTTTTAGGTGGAGGAGTGTGAAGTAATCTTTTAGCAGTGTGAGGACCATATATGACTTGTCAAGCCAGAGACACCAATGAGCAAACAATGTCAAAAGCCTGCAACCCAATGAGCGTCAAAAGCACAGTGCAGTTCTGGTTAGCTTTGGTGATCCTCTTGGCTCCTGGAGAGAAGATCATAGAATCAATGAGTCGGAAGGGACCTAGGCAAATCATCTAGTCCGACCCCCTGCCATGGGCAGGAAGGAGCACTGAGCTGGTTGGTACAGAAGTCCTAGGACAATGGCCCGACCACATCAAAAGCTTTCATGTAACCCCAGGTCCCCATCATGGAAAGCTGTCACATAGAACATCCCGTGGGCAGGACAGATCCCCGCTGGTCTGGGCTCCCTTGGCAGTGCAGGTTCCCTTCTCCGTTGCAGCACTTGACAATTACAGTTCAGAATGAAGCACTGGCAGCCTCCTACTCACTAGATTCCCATCCTTATGAACAGTTCTGTGTATTGCAGGAGCCTGCTTAGCCCACTAAAATCAAACAGGGACAGACAGCTTTATTGTACCAAGAGAAGACTTAGCTGAAGTCTTGAACAAAAAGCATCAGGCAGCAACAAGAGATAAACACCATGCAGAATAGCGACACATACTGGCTGAAGTGCAAAGCAAAGGTGCAAAACAGTGCATATCAGAGATAATTTTGCATTATATAGTCATGGATAAAATGCACGACAAGCAGAAAGAGGGGCCAGAATGCAAGCCTCCCTCCTTCCTAGAGATGCAGAGTATGATTGTGCATGTGTGTGTGGGGGGTGGGGAGCGGGTGTTCCCCCCCAGCCACACACACTCTAGTTCCATGACTCTTGCATTTCTTGGCCCACCTTCAACACCAGAGTATATTGCTGGAATATGTGAAATGTGGGTCCGAACCCCTCCAGCATTTTAGGTCTAGCATGTTAGGTCTTCCATCTAGCCCAGTCTCCTGTAGCTCACAGTGAGAGAGATATTAAAGGAAAGAGTAGTTATGCAGAGCCTACCCAGACTGCTGTCCCCTGCCTGTTCATCCCTCTTCTATATTCATAGGCCTAGGAAGACCTAATTTGGAGGTTGTCCTCCCAGCTATCATGTTTAAATACCCACCAATGGACCCACCCTCCATGAATCTGTCCAATACTCTTTTGAACCTAATTAAATTAATCTGCAGGGAGTTCCACAAGTGAATTGCATACACTGTGAGGGGCAGAGGAAACCTTTTCCTTTTGGGTTTTTTTTTTTTTTGCTTGTTTTTAAATCTGCATCCTAATAATTTCATTTCATGATCCGTAGGGTCTAATATGGTGGGAAACTGTAAGCAGTAAATCCCTATTTACTTTCCCCATGCTATTGTAACCTGGGTGTCCCCAAGTGAGTGCCCCCCTCTCACCAATAGAAGGGGAAAGCCAGCAGGGCACCTGTGCTGGGGGTAGAAACTGCAGTCTACTTGCAGTTCCCTCCCACCTATCACAGCTCAATACAGGAGGAACAGAAAACAATGTCTTATCCAGGTACACATTTAATATATATGAATTGAGGTGAATATTTACAGGTTACAAATAGATATCTATCTATATACATGCCCATATACAAGCAGGTAAGAAAGCCTAATGCTCCCAACTGATATGAACAGGTAAGTACAACAATAAATGGCACTCTGAAATACAAAGTGTATAGTTAATAGTCAATAAACACTCCAAAGATATGCGGTGCGTCAAATAATAAACACTCCAAAATATGAGGGGCACGAGTTCTCTAGGGGTCGCCTTCCTTTAGAGGGTCACTTCCTCCTGCCGCTCCAATGAAGCTACCTCCCCCTGAGTGTCACTCCCCGGCGGAAGACCCGTTGCCCCACTAACTCACATGTCCCAAAGAGCTGGGGGGAGTGTCCATAAGCTGTCCTGGCCTAGCTAATGTTTCTCCAGGGGAGGCTCAGTTCCAGGCCTCAGGGGAGCGGTGCGACTCATTCACACGTCCCAAAGGCACAATCCTTCTCAGAGGGAGTTGTGGGCCTGGCCCGCCTCGTGAATGTCCAGGGCCATGCCACTCCAAATACTGCTCCCCATGCTCAGGATCTGCTCTGCTCCCAGGGCCCTTGCAGACTCACCGCAAGGGATAGGTCCCAGACCACCCGGCCCCTCCTTCTCCAGGGCCTTGCACCCCACAATGACTCACCCCACGGCAGCGCTGGCTCCCATGCCTGGCCTCACGCTGGGGTTGAAGACCTGAGCCACCTCACTGCAGCTCCCAGGGTCCCGGTCCCTCACAGACCCTCTGTGCAGTGTTGGCTGCACCACCCACCGCTTCCATCCAGTGGCAGAATGTCTCAGGCTCTTCTGGACAGCTAGGTACACCTGCTGGGCAGCTCTCCCAGCTCTTCTTGGCCACAGGACCTCTTCTTTCTTCTTTGTCCCTTGCTGACTGCACTGCATGCTCGGCACGCAGCTGCTTATATCCCCTTCTGGGGCTCTGCCCCAGATTGAAAATGAACCAATCAGGGGGCTGCAACTGCAGTTCCCAATTAGGTCTGCTCCTACCCCCTTTGGAATAGAGGGAGAGTGTACTTGCCTCCTGGCTCCTCCCCTGCCTGTCTCCGATTGGTGGGTTTTGCCCCACCAATCGCATTCACCATTCCTAAGCCTGAAGGGCTGGGCAAAGCCCGACAAGCCCACTACACTATTCATGATTTTATACACCTCTATCATAATCCCCTTTCAGTTGCCTTTTTCTCTAATATGAAAGGTCCTACCTTATTTAATCTTCCATCCTTGTTGCCCTTCTCTGTACTTTTTCTTCCTCTGCTATACCCTTTTTGAAGTCGGGAGACTAGAACCACATGCAAAATTCAAGGGGTGAACATACTATGCACTTACACAGTGCTATGGTAACATTTTCTGCTTTGTTTTCAATTCCTTTCTTAATAATCCTTAATATCTTATTTTCCTTTTTGGTGTCTGCCGAATATTGTGTTGACATTTTCAGAGAACTACCCATAATTCCAAGGTCTCTTTCTTGAGTGGTAACAGCAAATGTAGAGCTCATCATCATCAATGTACATTTGGGGTTATTTGGTCCCCACCTACAGCTTAGCAACACAGAACTTCATTGGCCATTTTGTTGCCTAGTCATTGAATTTTTGGGATCTTTCTGCAATTCTTCCAAGTCCGCTTTGGTTTTGTTCCACTGAATGATTTGGTGCCATCCACAAACATAAACAACTGCCCTCACCACAAAGCTATTGAACAAGAGGTGGGTGGGTCCTCCTGCTTTTTGTGACTTGGGTGTTTAAAGCTAAGATGAAGGCATGTTACAAAAGTAAACATGTAAATGCAGGCAGGGAGAAAGAGGATTTCCCTATAAATAAGACTCAGAGCTCATCTATACTGGGTCAGCACAGGTCTCCTGGAGCAGAGGGCTGAGTCTACCCCACTGATCCAACTGTGCCATCCCTGGGACCTCCCTCATATTGCCATAGTGGGTAGACAAGCCCTTAGACACTT